ATGGTTATGGCAACCGGGGCTCGAAACGGTCCTCGTGCTGTTAGTCCTCAGCGGCTCCTAGGCACGCGCTCGCCTCGAGCCTGAGGAAGGCAGTGCTCTGGTACCAAAGTCCCGCAGGCTAAGCCGGGCTTCCCACGCACTCCAAGTAAAGAACGCCAACGGACACGCCTCGACCGTTAAAAGGCCAATCGCTCGAGCGCCAGAGAGCCCCCTGGGGGGCGTTGCTAGGGAGACAGCTGCGGGGCAGGGCCTTGCTTCACGGTGAGGGGCGGAGCGCGACTTAGAGAGCCTGGGATTGGCTGAGGCTGACTGAGATTTCCTTTGGTGGAGGCAAGGGCAGGGGGGAGGGGAGGTTTGGAAAGGAGCCGTTAACGGTCGAGGCGCGAGACTTCAACACGGCCAACGCCTTCTGCGACTGCGCAGAAGCTCCTGCGCGCGCAACTCTTCCAACGGCCGCGAATCGAGGGGGTGATGCGCGCGGACTCCTCGAGTTCTGCTTGTTGTTTGAAGCTTTTTTTAAAAATATATACCATGATCCCACCCCTTCCCTGCCCCTTGTGACGCACTACATCCGTCGCCTTTAACTCGGAGTCCCTCCTTGCGTTTCCGAGGTGGTATCTCTAGGGGAGTAGATTGCCCAATCTTCCTTCCCAGGAGTGACTAGTGGGTTTGAACCGCCAGCCTTAGCGTTTAAATATGAGGTGATGGGGCAGGGCAGGGACCTTAGGCGTTTTTCTAAGCATCATACGGGACTGAGATGGGACGAGCTATTTCCAGTCTTCGACAGCCACATACAGAGGGGAGAGATCACGCTGATCCAGATTGCTTGGTTTTGAACCCAGCTCCAACACTTAGAAGCTCTACGGCCTTGACAAGTCAATGAACCAACCACTCTTCAATTGCCCCATCTGTAAAATGGGTGTAATGTGGGGATTACAGATGTTAATGTACGCAAAGCATTTAGAACAGGCCCTGACTCGTAAATTTGCTATGTACCAGGTGACATAATGTCTTACGTAACATGTCAAGGCTGCTCATCTTGAGAAGGAGGCACCGTTTGAGTAATTTGCCACAAAGCCGGCATGTTTTTCAAAGTAGCGTTGTAAATCTTTTCTTGTTCCAGAAAGGAGCAACAAGAAAAGTCTACTGACATTGGAAATGGGACACAGAAGTAGAGCCCGTGCTAGGTACAGTATTTATTTTTGCTGCTGCTTTTCTCATGACAGTTCCTTCCCTTCCTTATGTCTGGTTGCATATAAAATATTTTCTGTCTATAAAACCCCAAGAATGCGATTACTTAACAAAGAAAAGAGAGAAACTGACTATTTAATTGCAGTCACGTTTATTTGCAGTTTCTATACACACTTTCTAGGTAATCAAACTTTTCTGATACATTTTTTTTTTATTTTTGGAGAGGGGTTCACAATGAAACTGACACCATTTTTACTAAAAATAAATACAAGACTTAAAGTGTTGCACAGCTCTAAAATATACAAAGGCTTGGATTGAATGTAAACGTTGAAAACATCTTACCAAAAAAACCATCTCTGCAACGATTAAAAAAGTTCATATTTACAAATATTACAAAAATACAAAATGGATGCAAGTCCATAAACCATTGTCTTTTCGGCCAGCATGAACTGGTTCTAGTACCAAAATAGTTACACTGTAACCTTCTTAAAAGTTTTAAAATCTGTCGTGATCTAGATCTCTAAATCTGCCAACCTGCAGCAAATGTACTCACTCACTGACCTTTGGCAAGAGCAAACAGTGTGTTTTGTTTGCTATCACTAGTCCATGTCCTCTACTTAGCCAAAAAAGAAGAAAAGAAAGAAAAGAAAAGCAGAATCAAAAAGCAAGGGGAAAAAAAAATTCCCCTATACAACATACACATGGTTGTATAAACATAAAAGGACAAAAAAATTAACATCAGTGCAAACAACAGAAGAAAAGTTTGGATTCATGTTCTTCATACCTAATGTGTGTATACTGCTCCAAGACAACAGTGATGTTACTAAAAAAACTCACTGCTGTCAAGTGGGATCCGACTCATAGCGCCCCTTCCTTGGGTTTCCCAGGCGGTATCACTATGGAAGTAGATTGCCCAATCTTCCTTCCAAGGAGTGGCTGGTGGATATGAACCGCAAGCCTTCTGCTTAGCAGTCAAATGCCTTAGGCACTATGCCATCAGAGGTCCCACTGTGATGTTAGTCAGCCCTAAATCTTGGTTTTGAGAGCTTGAAAGCCAGGTAGAATATTTCCGATTACTAAGCAATTTCTTGCTCTTTCACTGTTTGTTACTCTTTTCCAGAGTGAATTTTAAATCCATCTTTATTTGGGTTTTTTTTTTTTTAAACTATGAATATAAAATAGGGAAACTCTGCTATAGATTTTTAGAGTAAAGAAAATAAGTAAAACTATATTATAAGGGTTAATTCTGTGATCTTTACATATAGAAGCTATTTTATTGCCTCATAATTCAAGTCAATATGTATTTTAAAATATATATGGTACCATTACTTAAATTAATGTCAATAATAAAAAGGTAACATTTTTATTAAAGCCAATTTGTGTGTTTTCTATTCAAGATTTAGAAGCACTTTTACAGTCTACATACCTTTCTTTAATAACTACACAAAAGCCATACTGCAAATGAACTGCTTTTATGAAAATTACCAACGATCGCCTATTGTGACTTGAAATGACTGTTTCTTATCGCATTTGTCTAAAACTTTAATTTGTAAAGTTTTGCCAAATGTACTTTTCAAAGCATGAGGACAAAAATTTACTCAAGTTCCCATGTGGTGTCAAACCATGATGGTTTTCTTAATGAAAGGATTCCAATGAAAAATGGTGATCCAGTTTTTAAACCCCAAAACATTTTTCTTTGAATAAAAACTAACAACTTGTAAATGTTCAAACCCTCTACCAAATAGCTTATCTAATACACACACACACACGCACATGCACGTACACACACGTGTGCGTGCACACACACACACACTCCTTCCTCCTCTATCCTTCCACCCCCAGCACCCATTTTACATACAAGGATGACAAGAAATCAAGCAACACAATTTGGTAGTGAAAACAAATAGTAGAAAAAAAAACAGACTTTTTTTTTTCTTTACAAACAAACAAAACTAACAGCAGTCAGATTATCTAATTCCTAATCCATAACATTTTAGAAAGTGTTTCTATTGAAAGACAGTATTTTCTTAGACCAGGCTTTCCCCTTCATACTTGCATGAATTAAATCAAAACCACAAACCCGCTTTCACACATCCTACTTTCCCAAATACCACTTGCATAAGCTTAAAGCCTGCTGCTTATCAATTTCTTGGTAACCCTGGTATGTTCTAACATTCTAACCACATTCTGTTATTTTATAGGCCATATCTCTTCTTAGTTCTCTGTACTTTCTACCTCCTCGCATTCGAAACATGTTCTAAGTACATAGCTGCTTATATTTCTGACATAGAGTTTCAAACATTAGTATCAGTTCATGTTAAAATCTGAGGTGTAAAGACTATTTGCAGATTTCAACTTGTAACTACATTTTTCTTTCAGTTTTAAGACAAGAAAATTCAAGTAATTTCAAGTACTTCAGCTTGTTTCCCTGCCTTCATTTTATCAGAGCATTTACTTGCCCTGACTTTTCCTTTCCCACCCACCACCCCTCCCCTTTAGCCATCAAGCAGATATAGTAAAACCAGACAAAACTCAGTTGTATGTAGCATTTGTGAACCAGAGCTGTTCCCCATTCTCAGTTTAACAGCGACTATAAATAATGCATGTACATACCTATTTCCCAGCTACATTCTTCACAGTGTCATTTCTGTTCATTTTTAGGTAGCATGAATCTTGTCAGCACAGAGAGAAAGCTTCACTGAGAACTCATTGCAGGTACTTACTGATAAATCAACAACTCTGTGGCATGCTTAGGTTTTATTTTTGTTAGTTTAAGAACCTGGAGCTAATTGCTAAACTGTTTAAGGAGTTTAAAGAGTATAGTCATTAGATTATGACTGTTTATATATCCCCAGTAGCCTAATATAAAACATAACCTAAAATGAACTACTGTTTTCCCTAGTCATTCTCGTTAAAGCAATCCATTGAAAAATTAAAGTCGAAAGGACACTGTCAAATGCTGTTGTTCAGGGTTCTGTGTCGAGAGTGATGACTTCTCTCATTAATTAAAGAAAAAATCAGAAGCATGCTTTTCATTCTGCCCAAATTACCACATGGCAAATTACAGCTACGCATTGCTATTAGCTAGTTTGGTGCTGCAGTTTGTCACAAGAAATGGTTAGATCTAAATTCATTATTTTAAATCAATCACATTTCAGTCCATGACCTCAAGATTTCCTTTTTTCACCAGTTTAAGTTTCATAGTTGAGGCTTATCATTCAGAAAATCATATTGGTGGACATTTAAATATGTTATTTGATATGAAAATGGTATTCACAGAATACAATTATTACATTCTATTCTTTTTTTTTCTATAAACAGTTGGTGTGCAGTAAATAATTGGCCACATGTCCACTTGTCATTGATAAATCTATTTACACATTTTTATCAAAAATATGGTATTTACATATGTGTAGTTCTTTCTTCTGAATTTTGCTCTAGTTCATTTTAATGTAAAAAAATACCAAACCTCCAGAGTAATTTCATCTTCTTGAAGAATCATGACAGTGAGGGTTTTTGTTTCTGAATAGGCAGCTCTGCAAAAACTTTTTCCAGGTTTCATGAAAAGTAGGTATTTTTGAACTCCACATTATCAAAAGGAATGGGATTGGGTCAGTCAAACTAAGGCAAAGGAAAACATGAAAGACAGTGCAGCTACTTAAAAAATAAAATAATAAAGAGTCACTAAACTACCTCCTGTTCCCCAGCATATATTTAGAAATTCATTGGTAAGCAGTGATAGTACCCCATGATTTTTCTGGCTTCTCCTGAGTCCTCTGCTCCCTTCTGACATTTTCATATAACTAAAGGTTTTGACGTCTGATGGGCCGTCTGGTCCAGGCCACCTAGGTTGAGCTCTGGGAAGATCGGTCATCATGTGGACTTCCGTCTGAATTTTCGGTCTCACCCTCAGAGATAGCCTGCATGGGAGTGTTATACAGCCGGCAGCGGACACTGTAACGACTGCTGCTAGCTGCAGGGGGTGCCCGGGAACGTCCAACCCTTGCTGATGCTGAGGTGGCAAAGTTCTTTGAGGAAAACCCCTCTGCATTCACTCGTGGGGAGCATGGAGAGAGAGGGGACAGTGCCTCTGCCCCAGGTGACCCCTGATGGGCCTCATCGGTGACCTGAGGGGAGTCAACTGCGAGATCCCCAGGGGGTTTGGGCAGGATGGGACTCTTGAGGATCTCGGTGGCAGACATGCGGTAACTGGAATCCGAGCGGCTGCCTTTTTTGAGAAGTAATAGCTTAAACTCTTCGTTTGATGTGTTAGACTTTTTGGCATTGCGGTAGATGAGCCCAGGAGACCTCTGGCTGGTTGGGGTTGTCACACTGCTGCTCGGTGAAGTGATGGAACCAGAACCACTGCCACTGCTGCCAGTGGAAACTCTGGATTTGCTTCGAACAGACATGTCCCCAGAATCTTTCCTTCCAAGTACTTTCCTCTTGGATCTTTGGAGAAAAGGAAAAATGAGGCACAAATTTCAGTCCACATACATTTTTATGAAACTAAAAGTTAAGTCACATTCACTCACTTATTTAAACATTTTGTGTACATCCTTTATGACAGGATACTAAGCTTTGGGGTGCTAGAGATGAGAAGCCAGATACACCCTTGCCCTCATAGCACTCACAGCCTGTGAGAATTCTCTGACAACCAAACCAAGTCAAACTCACTGCTGTCAAGTCAGATCCAACTCATAGTGACCCCTCCTTGGGTTTCCAAGGTGGTATCTCTATGGAAGTAGATTGCCCGGTCTTCCTTCCGAGGAGTGGCTGGTGGGTTTGAACCACCAGCCTTCTGGTTAGCAGTCAAATGCCTTAGGCACTACACTACAGAGCTCCCTTTCTGACCACCAGTGGACATAAATTAGGTTCTGGAAATGGCCATTTAAAATCATTAATAATGTGGAGACTAAAGTTTCAAGAGGAAGGCATTGGAAAATTTGCAGAAAGATAAGAAAATACTGCTGACTCCCAGTTCCAGTGTGGGTGGGGAAGGATGGTAGCTTTCTTTTATCAAATCTGTCTCTGTAATACAGATAAAATGCTGTTGTCTGGGATTGGCTTCCAAATAATAAAGGAAAGAGGAAGTGGATGAGGTGTGGATGGGACCAGATTGACTATAGGCTGACAGGCCTGGATGATGGTGCATTATACTATTCTATCTACGTTTTTCATTCCTCCACAGAAAACATTTTTAAAATGGCTTTTAAAATAAATAAATCCATCTTTAGCTGCAAATACCATTGCTAGAGCTATCTGGGAACATCGATGTGTTAAGCAGTAAGCCGACATTCTGTGAAAAATGAAAACATAGACCATCTCTGGAGCTCTTAAAGCTCTGTACGCTGTAAGCTCTCAAGAAAACATAACAATTCTTTTCACTATGATGTAAGTGGATTGATGAATAAATACTATACAAATGCAAATCTAAGATTATCAAACTCAATCTACTGAATCTAGACACCTATCATTCTGTTACTAAGCTTCTTTTGATAAACAGACATAAATTCAATCAATCTTCAGCGTTTGCTAAAAGTTTATCACAGTTCATTGATAAGTCTTGGCAACATGCTCTCCCACTAACTTAAAAATGCATAAAGTAGTGAGAATGCAAGCTTTCAAATTGGATACCAGCCTGATTTGTGTTTATTAAAACCCCTGAGGCTAATATCTTGCCTGTGCCAGTGTCTGGCTCTCTAATAAGGTAGGAGTTTCAAATTAGCAATTTCTTTTATCATCTCTTGTATTCTACAGACCAAAATGTAATGTTATCATCAAAGTCAAATACATGTGTTATCCCCGTTTATACTAAGGGAACAGGTACAGGGGTTTTAATTGATTAAAGACTGCATGGAAAATGGTAGAGTTGGGATTCAAATCCAGGTCTCTATGACACCATTACTTAGGTTCTTTCCACTATTCTAAGCACTTGCATTTGGTTCTTTGGGGTAAGAACTTGGCTCTTTAACTTGCATAGCATTTTAGTAATTTGTCCTAAGCTTGAAGATAAAGGGGGGAGTGGTGGTGAGGGGAATATAATTGAAGCTTAGATTAGACATTGGTACAAAGAAAAATAAAACAATGATTCTCCAGCCTCAGAGTAGAGAAATGTGCCTGTGAAGGTATACACAGGAGATGTTTCCTATTGGCTCTTTAAAAAAAAAAAAAGGTTGTTCAAAAGTAATGGTCCTTCTTTATGAGAGAACTACATCAACAGAAAATAGATGTTCCCTTTTTGTTTGGCTTAAAGAGTAGGATCCCAAAAAAAAGATTGTAAGCTGTGTGCAAAGAATTTGTTACCAAAATGATCACTTAATGTGGTAGAAAAGATAATTCCCATGTTTCACTTCTTGGGAGTGCCATCTAGGTCACCAAGGCCTAGTCATACTGGTGAAAATGGTTATGCACATCACGATTGCATAGCTCAGTCTGATATGGGTTCAGTTTCCAAGAGTTAGTTCTCCCTCTGTTCTTTGTCACAGATAGTAACAAATATTCTTGCAAATATGGCCCACTGATCACAAGGGGGGGATGTGAACAGATGAGACAATACGAATGGGTAGCACTGACACCACACTATCCTGGAAAGCAACCCAAAGGACATCCCCTATTGGTGGGACATGTTGTTGTTGTTGTTGTTATGTGCCGTTGAGTTGAACCTGACTCATAGCGACCCCTCCTTGGGTTTCCGAGGCAGTATCACTACGGAAGTAGATTGCCCAACCTTCCTTCCGATTGGTGGGACATAGGCATGAATTTTAGAGATGAAGGCCAGTACTATTAAAGAAATTTAAGTTATATGAGGAAAGAGAGTAATGATAAATTGTTCTGAGGTATGAAATGGGCAAGTATACACATTCTTGCCTCAATCTTGGGGATCTTAATGTTTGGTGAAACACTTACATCTGTCTCTGCTAATGTATAATTACAGCTTGGCACATGTTTAGAAGAATATATATTCTAGGCTCAAGAAATTATAGTAAACTCAGGATTATGTTAGAGTTTGAGTTTTCACTCTAAGTTACTTAACTACAAATAATTTTAAAATAAAAACTTGTTCCAGAATATCTCTTCAAGGAGTGGAGGAACTTTTCCTCAACAGTTCTTATAAAATTCCCTCATATGAGGTCTGTCGTTGTTAGGCTGGTAGGTGCCAAGTCTGCTCTGACTCCTAGCGACCCCATGTACAACAGAATAACACACTGCCTGGTCCTGCACCATCCTCACAATCATTGCTGTGTTTTAGCCCATGGTTGTAGGCATTGTGTCAGTCCATCTCATTGAGGGTCTTTCTCCTTTTCATTGACCCTGTACTTTACCAAGCAAGATGTCCTCCAGGGACTGGACCATCCTGATAAGATGACCAAAGTACATGAGATGAAGTCTTGCCATCCTTCTAAGAAGCATTCTGGCTGTATATTTCTTCCAAAACAGAATTGTTTGTTCTTCTACAAGTCCGTGGTATGTTCAATATTCTTCACCAGTACCATAATTCAAATGCATCAACTCTTCTTT